TGCCATATTGCCTTCGCGACGTTGTTGTTTCTCATTTTTTGTGCTGCAAAGACATTGCAGGTGAATATTAGAGGGGATTATTAATTGCAGGTGAATATTAGAGGGGATTATTAAACGGAAATTGATTAGAGGGGGATATTGAATATATTCCCCGACAAGAACAAAGGAAACCGAGCAGGGTGAAAAATAAGGAAAAATATTCAACCTCGGTCTTGCTATATTGACCTCGCTATGCTCGGTCAATACAGCAAGTCCTCGGTTGGATATTTTTCCGTACTGCCCTCACTCTCGATCAGTAAGTTATTATTATTATATACCGGATATAAGCTATTCTGCAATCTGATTGGTGAGAGATACTAGCAGGATATTTATAATTTATAGACCCCGAGCGAGGGGGATTCGGCGAGGGGCTTTGCCCCGAGGAAAATATTATCACTGAGGGAAATATCGCCGAATCCCCCGAGCGGAGGGTCTATAAATGATATATTATACCGAAAGTTAAAGAACTCACTAAGTTCAGAATAAACTTTAAAACTTGCTGAATATTAACTATGCGAATACAATTTTTAATTTCTTATGTATACCTCAGTTTTTGACATTTCCTCTTTAAAATATTTGAGCATGTATCCTTTGGATCATTAAAGGTAACATACGTCTTGAAAATCTTTGGTTAAATCAAATCTTCTGTACGAAATTGCAAACAACAGCTCGCGAACGCCATATTGTTTCAGAGCGTGGTGTCCACGCGTCACGCGTGAGCGTGGGATACTATAATATCCCACGGTGGATCTGCCGTGGGATATTACAGTATCTCACGCTGCATTGCGAAATCATGAATTTGAGTGAAATACCGTAAAAAATCACATTATCACGTGGTACAAATGCTGTTTTTTCATTGGACAATTTGAATTTGAGGTATAATATTATTTAACAATTATTGAATGAGGTTGAGCACGATATGAAGAATTATCAAGTCCGAAGTTTGCCGTTATATATATATATATATATATATATATATATATATATATATATATATATATATATATATATATATATATATATATATATATATATATATATATATATATATATATATATATATATATATATATATATGTAGATATATATATATATATAGATAAAGATAAAATAAACCTGGTTTACTTCATAAGATTTATTCACTACAAACTTGTTTCGTATCACACTCATCAGAATTTTTTAAATTTTAAATTCACCTGATGAGTGTGGCAAGCATTGCTTGTCATACGAAACAAGTTTGTAGTGAATAAATCTTATGAAGTAAACCAGGTTTATTTTATCTTTATCTATATTAGCTCTATACTTCGGTATATCGAGCACTCTACTCATATATGATTCTAAATACATTTTGGTATATATATATATATAGGTATATATATATATATACGCAGAGTAATTGAGATACAATAGCGCGCTGAAGTTCGATTTCCTTTTTTTTATACACCCTGTATATATATATATATGTATATATATATATATATATATATATATATATATATATATATATATATATATATATATATATATATATATATATATATATATATATATATATATATATATATATATATATATATATATATATATATATATATATATATATATAAGTATATATATATATATATATATATATATATATATATATATATATATATATATATATATATATATATATATATATATATATATATATATATATATATATATATATAAAATATATATATATATATATAATAAACCTGGTTTACTTCATAAGATTTATTCACTACACTCCTTGTTTCGTATGACAAGCAATGCTTGCCACACTCATCAGGTGAATTTAAATGTCGCGCTATGTTGTTGCCAAGGTTATATATACTATATACATGTTTGACGTAAACGGAATGTTCAAGTATTAAATTACGTATAGATTACATATATATATACAGATTATATTAAGTAATGTATATTGCTTAAGAGAAATTTGTTTCTATGTCTGCATTTCGACAAAAG